ATGGGGGAACATTCTGCTGTGTAGTTGCAAGGTTAAAGGTAGAGGTGATAGCAATTGAGTGGCCTGCTTAGGCTTTAACCAGACAGGAAGACATGTCAGAGTTTATTGTTCCATCTTGACTTTAGGGACAAATTATTTCATTGCTTAATTCCATGAATGTGTTGTTGGATTTTGGTCAGAGATACAGGGAGACGTTATTTTTGTCAGCCTTTTTTGCTGCTGTGACTGCAAGACTTGATAAAATCAATTAGAGAAGGAAAAGTTTATTTGGGGGCTCAGAGTTTCAGAGGTCTCAGTCTATAGACAACCAGCTCCATTCCTCAAGGCTCTAGGTGTGGTAAAAGATCATGGAAGAAGGGTGTGGTGAAGGAAAGCAGCTCAAGGAAGCAGAAAGAGAGCTCTGTTCAACAAAAATAAAATATATACCCCAAAGGCACGCCCCGGCCAGGGACCCACCTCCTCCAGCCATACTCTACCTGCCTACAGTTACCATTCAGTTAATCCCTATCAGGAGATTAATTCACTGATTGGGCTAAGGCTTTCATAACCCAATCATTTCACCTACAAACCTCCTTACATTGTTTCACACATGAGCTTTGGGGGCATTCCTAGTATCTACATCATAATACATTTTGTCATTTTTTAACAGTCTGTAGCAATTTAAAAGTATGTTGTGTTTGTAAGACCAATGCATATAAAAGGCACTAAAGAAGACAACAAAATATGTCTTTATATTCTACCTATTCTTCTTCCCTCACAGTGTCACCCTTCATAGATGGAAACAATATAGCATTTATTCAAAACACACTGAGGGCTTTGGTATTGAGAAAAAGATCTTGTAAAGACGCATGGTGTCTTCCTGGATGATGCCCCTGGTTTTATACAAATGTCAGTAATGGAGGCTCAGAGATGGCCAGGAGACAGCACGCTGCATGAACACGGTCATCTTATTCAGAACTTTGGTGACCTTGCATTGTCTTGCCCTTACTTTATGACTCTCCCCCCACAGCACTCTCAAACTTTAGAAAATCACAATGTCCTTTCTGTCATGCATCTTCTTGTCTTTCTCTTCCTCGTACTTGTGAGCAGGAGTTCAAAAAAGAAACTGTGCTGTGTCTTATCTCCATCTGCTCAGTGCCCATCACAACCTGGCACACAATAACAGGACATATATATCGCAATCTATAAAAGAAATGTGGCACTCAGAGAGCAGGGTGACTTATAAAACAAAATGTCCTGATATTTGTCTTTCTTATTTGAAATGGACACAATCCTCACCTTTTCCAATGACATCATGTGAAGATGAGACAATAAGAAGGACACTTTGATTATTGAAAAGTGCAATATAAAAGTTGCCTTTTATATAGTTGCACAATTAATCATTTCTAACTAAGGAAAAATCTTCTTGTGTCAAATATGCTTGTTTATATATTTTCTACTATTACACACACACGCACAACACTCTTACCAGGTAGGAAGACTACAAAGCTTAAATAATGGTAGAATATTGCTATGTTGATTTTTTATTCTACCTTTTGCTTTCTTTTGTTTCTCTTTCAAGAAAAATAGTCCATTTCATGCAAAGGTGCCATAGTGCCACTGTCTTCTTAGATTATCTCTTTCAGTTCCTAGTATCCTTTAGTAGCAACTAGTGGTCCCTTGTCCAAGGTCCCATCATATTGTATAGCTGGGATTCAAACTTATCTGTTTCTGGCTCCAGAGTTGATCTTTCCCTTCCACGTCAACTGCCTCAGCCCTGGAAGAGTTCCTCGCAGCCAACTAACATACAAACTATCTCCTATCTTCAAGATGGTATAGAAAAGAGGCTAAAATTCCAAGCTTGGGAGATGGACTTTGGTTCAAATTATTTTCTGTTGTTTCATAATAGTTCAAGGAGTGACCCATTTCAGAATCTCTTTACATGGCCGATGGTCCTTCTTGCCTCCCAATGTTGTTATGACCATAAACTAACTGAAACAAAAATGTGTAACTCATGAAATGAAATTGAATGAACATACAACTCTTGTTTTAAATGGCAGTTACTGTCTTGAGACCCTTTTATGAAGGACAAATTCTTTCCTTTTGTAATTAGAAATGTGGAAATGGCTTTATAAGAGATAAAATATAGTTGTTGTTTCAATTTATACAAAATTGACTTGATCAATTTGATAATGAAACTTGTTGACTTTTTTCTATTGAGAGTAAATTTTTGGCTAGTAAATCTGCTTATTTGCTTTTAAAATTCCCTAAAGTCTTGGCTATTTCAGTGAACTTTGACCATGATCTATCTGTTTATCTCTCTCTCTCTCTCTCTCTCTCTTTTAAAAATTTTTTAAAATTTGTTTTAATTAGTTATA